TGTGTCAACCGCACCACAGCTTTACCTAAATGTCCCCGATGTCTTACTTGCTTTGAGCTTCTTCATCACACAGTGCTTCTGAGGCACCTCCAGCAGCTCCCTTGATTTCTGAAGCCAAGTTTGCTCGTGGGACAGTAACACACTTTATGCTGAATTTTAAACTGAAGTTGCTTCACCAATCTGTGAACAATACAACTGAACAACAGCTGAAAGACAAAATTAAAGAAGGGTTTCCTCTACACGAACCAATTTATAAAATTTCACCAGTAACAACTTAAGCTATAATTTTTGTGAGTTAGTAGACTTGCTTTGGTTTTAGTCGGTCCCTTTCTTCAAATAATAGCTAGTATGAAAATCTTTGCATGAGATCATCGGGCATTAGTGCCTTAAGATACAAATTCTCTCACACATAGAATCTTGGCTTTCATGTAGTCTCAAAAACCTGTGAGAGGCTGCAGTGGAAAAGCACAGCTACCATCAGCCTTGCTGTACTGCATGGACTAATGGGATATATATAAACTTTGTTCAGGTGCCTTGAACGACTGCAGCCCTTACACCAGGTGACCTTTTTTGGACAAGAACCTGTTGTGAGGAAAGGAAATGTTGAGCCCATCGACATAACCATAGCGCAGAGATCATCGAATAAGAAGGTAAAAAGAGAACTAAAATTACAGGGTTTGAGCAGAAGCCCAGATTCTGAGAGCAGCTTTGGCAGCTCGCTTTTCTGGGATGAATGGGACATGCTAACACCTACAGCAGTGATGGTTGCAATCATTATTAAAACCTGTAGGTGACAATTATCAAGAACCTTGAGCTGTATGGTCTAGACCCGCAGTGCGTGGCCAACATTCTGCAACAAAAAGTCCAAGCCAGTGCCACCATCACCCCAGTACCAGGAACAAAAGACAGAGTTCAGGTCCAGATCCAAGGCAACCAAATCCATCATCTGGCCAAGATGCTGCTAGGTAAGTCTGTTCCGGAACTGGGCTGGGACTGGTTACAGCAAGGTACAGGATATAGATTTTAATTCTTGAGCTCTAAATATTTACCTGATATGACCTCTTGGTTATGTTGCAGAAGAATACCAGCTACCTCGGAAATATATTCAAGGCCTTGAGAAGGCTCCAAAGCTTGGCCGGAAGAAGTAAGAGAAAAATCTACTGTAAGAACGACTCAGATCTCATTATTTATAGAATTGCTCTGCCAACAAATCAAGGATAATGTACAGGCCCTTTTCATTCAAAAATGAGTCCTGGATGTTTACAGGGTCTAGGATTCACCCAAATAATAATAATGCTCCAGCTGTTCATTTTTCACAAAAATAAAAAGCTTGAATAAAACCCCTAGCGTTATCCTTCTCCATATATTTTTCTGTAAGTTCCTAGTGCTGCACTCATTTTCTGGCCACAGTGGCTTTTGGCTTGTTGACCATTCTTGCTTTGCATCTCTTAGAAAAGGTAAAACAGAACCTCCAGTGAAATGTAAGCAAAGTACATTCTACCACACTGTCCTGTGTGTTATGCCACAGATCATGTATGTCAGAAGTAAAACCCACCTGGGTTTAGATTTTATCCTTTTAAACATTTCCAGGTATTAATATCAGACATTTCAGCACTGAGAATGAACTCTATTAGCTGCATTTTTATGGTTTACATTATCTTTATATATAAATACACTTTAATGTATGACATTAACTGTGATTTACCACAGGTAGACATGGGTAGCAGTTCTGTCATATCCAGCTAAAATATTAAGAGAAGATTAATGGAACACTTTGGTCGGGTTTCACAGGGGTAGACGTTCTGTACGGCTTTAGCTGAAGCTTAAACACTTTACAGTAGGGTTAAGAAATTTGAATTCAGTTCTAGGAAGGATTCCTGTATTTTCCCTTTATACTTAGTACATGAAAGGTTCCATAGGAGGGCGCCAGAAAAAGAAGCTAAAGAGATTTCTTTAATTACTGACAGGTTTATTATCATAGTCTTTTACACTGTCTGCATATGAACAAGTAGTTTCAGACCCTTCAAAAAAGCTGGAAGTGCGACATTTTTTAAAAATGCCATAGAATTACTAGGGAGTAGTAAAAATAAATTACAGCATTGCAAAAAATGCATTTCATTTTGCCATAGAAGCTTTACTATTCCATTCTATACACAGTATTTTACATGTTTTACAATAGACATGAAAAATAAAGTCACACAAACTAGGCAACACAACATACTAACCAAAGGCACTGCCAACAGTATTTTGCGCTTAAGGAAGGGGCCAATACTCCTGTCCTAGACACAGCTCAACTCACTTGAGAGTTTGAGTTTCAAGATCTACCAATTCCTCAAATGCCCCGTATCTTGAAAAAAAAAAAAACTAAAAAAAAAAAAACCCCAAAACCAAAAAAGAAACAGCCCTCCCCTTCGCAGGAGGTTTTCAGCAGCATTCACGGTAATTGCATAAGAAGCCATGCCATGTCAAAGACATGCTGGGTCCCAGGAGGGGAGAGGGAGATGGTCACCAAAACTCTAGTAGAAAACAACAACAACAAAAGAAATCTTTACAACATTTAGCCAGAAAGATAAGGGATTTAAAAACAAGCATCTGGATCTTCTCGGAACCAATGGCAGTTTTTACAGTGTTCTTCCTCTTGACCGAACAGAAGTATTTATACGGTGCTTTCAAGACTCGAAGCACTAGATAAATGTTACTTAAAATGACTTCACAAGTGCATAGTGAAGTAACAAGCATTCTTGTTTGCGGACAAACAGCCCCAGAGCATGAAAACTGCTGCCCTGTTTGGGCTGCCGCCAGGTTGTTAAAGGTCAGCGGGGTGTAGAGTACAGTACAGCTGGGAGGCCCCTCGGCACCGCGGGCCGGAGGCCACAGCCCTGTTAGCAAACCCTCTTACGCTACTGCCTAAAACATGAGCTGGAACTAAGCTTGCAGAAAGTGGCTTTTATACAAACCCAGGGGCTTGAAGTGCTGCAGTTACTCTCTTACGGTTTATAAACAAACATACTCAAGTATAAATCGGG